TGCCAGTGAGCATAGCTCTAATACTGTTGGATTTGGCAGGCCTGGTTCATCATCACCTTCTGCTCCATTGTCACAGATGTGCAACCATTTTATTTTATGACTGTTTTAACTGCCTCGCTGCCTTTGCTGCACCACAGGCATTGCCAGAAGTGTTGTTTTCAAGATACAGAGCTTGAACCCCTCCTGCGTGAGACTGATGGTGCGCACACACACGCAACAGATCCCTGGTGACGTGTTGTTCTTCCTCCTACAGGTTTTAATCCGGAATAGCAAAGACATTGGTTTCTGTGGAGGGAGTTTAATCGGCAGACGCTGGGTGGTCACTGCTGCTCACTGCCTTGATCTCGTCAGGCCACACCATGTCACCGTAGGTGAGTACAATTCATGTATTGTAGTAACATGGGGTCATCTCTTATGTAAGATGCACTTTCTATTGTACAGGAACAGCCCAAGATATGGTTAAGAAACAGGCCTCGCATCCTACCCAACCTGGATGTACAGACCACTTCCTTTACTGGCGACCTCTAAGGGTGAAGGGGCTCCAGCTGCTCCCTGTTGTTCTCATGGCAACCCTGGGACTGCAAGGCAGATTTATCTTTTTCTGTCACCCATTTTGGCAAACTCATCATGCCAGGAGACTGAGCACAGCTCAGGGTGCACCTTAGAAGGAAGAAGGATTCCTGTAGTTGGTGGTCTGGTCTCCAGTCAGGTTTGGTTTTAAATCAGCCTTATGATTAGTTTCCTGCTGTGCTGCCAGCTTCTCAGTGCCTTTAACTGCTCCAGCAGAAAGACACCTTTTGCAACATACTACAGCACTAGTTACAGTGGCAGGGATTGGAACCCTCTGCAGCTTAGACACACTGTTTAAAATACAGTGCTTACTAAAAACCATTGTTACTTACACCAAAATCCCTACCCCAAAAGCCACATTCTCTGTGTATGCCTATTCCTCCAGTCAGTAACTTTGTTTTGCCCTTAAAGGGCAAACTGGGAAGCTCTATTTGTCTAATCACATGTGCAGCCTAAGACATTACTGTCCCAGAGCCCGATCTGGTTTGGTCTGTCCTGCCTTGGGACAAAAGGTCAAAGCACTAACTGACTCCCCTTCCTGCCATAGCATAGAGACTGTTTACAGTCTGCTTAACATTTTAACTTCTTGTGACTACAGGAGACTTTGACAAGTATCAAAGAGAATTTAAAGAACAGAAGATTCATGTGGAACGGAGCTGGACCCATCCACATTATGATTCAAATGACTACAACAGCGACATCGCCTTGTTGTACCTGAGCCGTGCCGTTGTTTTTAATGAGTATGCAATTCCCATCTGCCTTCCAAGCCCCAGCCTTGCCACCCTGCTATCCGAAGAAGGAAGAATAGGGATGGTAAGTGGCTGGGGTGCTACTCACGACAGAGGTTCAACTCTGCGCTTCCTCATGAAAGTCCGTCTGCCCATAGTGAACATGGAGACCTGCCAGCGGTCAATGGACAGGCTCGTTACTGACAACATGTTCTGTGCAGGGCACCACACCGAGGTGGCAGATGCCTGCAAAGGGGACAGCGGTGGCCCTTTCACTGTGTCTCACCACAACACCTGGTTTCTCTTGGGGATTGTGAGCTGGGGAGAGGGCTGTGCTGAAAAAGGGAAATACGGTGTGTATACCAGAGTGTCCAACTACATCCCCTGGATCAAAGAGATTGTTGAGAGCGTAGCAGATTCTGAAAACTTTTCCATTAACTTTTCTTAGTGTCTTTGAAATCAGGAACAGTTCTAGTATTACAGTGTTTCAGTCTAAGACACTGCAGTTCCTGGCCTTAATGGTGTAAAACCAAGATTATCTTCAAAGAAATTTTGAGTCTGTTTACCATAAATGGTTAAATTGTTGACTGTTAGTAAAATACTTGTGTATAATAAAGAACTATTCTGCAAACAAAGGTGATGACTACACCCTTTCTTAATGTAAAATCCTACCAGAAATGTTTTTTGCTTTACAGGGAAAAAGTGCTTTCCATTTCCCAGCCTACATCCACCTCAAAGACACAGGCAAACAGTCCTCTGTGTGAATTACCTGCTTAGAAAATGACGTGCATCTCCAGTAGTGCTGCCTGGCCTCCAGTTCTGAGGCACTGTGCTGAACACAGCGGTTAGGGATCGGTGATGTTTTGTCACCAACTGCAACAGTTACCTCAGGTACAATTCAGTGTACAAATGTTTTCTGATACAAACCCAAATTCCATATGGAATCCTGTATTACAAACTGCACTGGAAAAACTGCCCAGGAGGGAATCCCTGCACTGCAGGACTGTATGGAATGAAATAGTTGTGAACACACTTTAAGGGGAAAAGCCAACACACCACCAAAGCAATAAACAGCTTTTCCATCATCCTAAATTAAAATATAGATTGATGGTGTACACCCAGCCAGCCCTCCAAGAGGCTGATCCCCCACACATCAAAAGCAGCTTCACATTCTTACTTAAAAGCAGCGCTTAATGCCAAAAATGCAAGTGAAAATAAAATGCTGGTGAGACAGACTAATATCCTGCAACTAATCACCCCTCTGATTACCTACACTGCTGCTGCTTTCTGCTGCAACTAACAGGTGCTCTTTGTGACCCATGTCAAAAGAACTTTTGATTTTGTGACCTTCCTTATAATTCACTAAAGTTTCAGTGTGAAAACAACCCAGCACTCGCAGTGATGAGTGGTTTTCCTCCTCAGCTTTGATCAAAGCCTTGTCAAAGTCCATTACCACCACCATTGCACAAGAAACCTCTTTTGTTTGCCTCCAGAGAACAGGTGATGCTAAGCTATTAATTTTGATGGCAAGAAACTGTAATTGAAGAGCTCACATGACCACCAGGGCCAGTACTTCAAGGAAACACCTCTTTAGATTTAAGAGTAGCCCACAACCCCAGAACCACCAAATACAAAGTCGGGGGGGGGTGGTGGTGGGTGGTGCAGCAACATGACACCAAACCCTTGAAACTCTCAGCATGCTAAAAACACACACCCGACTTCAGTTCCTGTGTCATAAGCATACCTGTAAAGAGCAGGTGCAGTTGTCTTCCAGCTTTGCTCGTCTTCTCTTGAGCCTTCCATCATGCTTTCATGACCAGTGAAACCCTCTGAGTGGAAGATGGTCAGTATTTCTTATCAAAAACAACACACGGGGATCTCCAAAGACAAACCAACTAATTAATAAAGCTCTGCATAAAGAGGACACAGACAGTGGTGAACACAAAATTAACAATTACCGGCTTTTCCACACACCGGGTGGGCTGGAAATACATTCTCTTGAGCAATCAACAGAGAGGCCTCCCCCCAAAAAAAAAAACAGAAGATGTTTTATTGTCTCAAGTGTTGCAATACAACAAATACATGATCTGTACAAAGGACACAATAGAGCAAGTTTAAATACAATCATCAGGAGAAAGAAGTCCCCATATTCACAGTCCTCGGACATCATCTTATACCAGAACCTGAACCAACAATTTAAAGATTCACTAAAAAAACAAAACAAAAAACAAAAAAACAAAAACCCAAACAAGCTGTTCGTTAAAAAATTTAAAGGTCTCCAAAGAGTCTGTGGGTGTATTGTCTTACAGCAGAGGTCATGGGGTATTCTGTGAAGGGTCACAATGGCATCTTATTGCCCTCAATGCTGATTTTCACTGCATGGGCCGATCTGCTTTTTTTCCTGATATCTGTGAATTTCCGCATCTGTTTGTCCAGTCGACTCACCCCTTTCTTAGAGGTCCCCTGGAACTTAAAAAATATATCATTAAATAATAAAAACTGGTAATTACCACTGAAAAAAAGCAGACGTCCCAGAGGTTCAAGAGAAGTGAAGTGATGCATGTGAGGTTCAACCTGCAGGAGGGAGTGGATGAAGCCACTGGTTCCAATTGGTTGTGCGTGCGTGCACACGTGTCCTCCCCAAAAATTGGAGAAAATGTTCCCCCAATTTACACACTGCATGTATCACAGAATCACAGACTGGTTTGGGTTGAAAGGGAGCTTAAAGACCATCTTGTTCCACCCCCGCCCGCCACAAACATCACACAGGAAAGCTTTCACATACATTACAGGGATTAATAACCATGTTAGTTGTTCACATGCCAGGTGAATACATAGTTTGGAATAGTTTTGTATCTCTATCAGCTGGAGCTCAGTGTCAGAAACAGGCTGCACCACAGTGCCACACATACAGGCTTCTGGGGTTGGGAGGGAGACTTTTAGGCATGAATACACTGTTAATTAAAGCAAACTGATTTGACCTATCAATTCCAAACTGCAATTTATTTTAAAGGTCACTGATTAGTACTTATAAAGCAAGAGATTCCTGGGAAAAACAGGGTTTGGGGGAAGCAAAAGAAATGCCTAAGCTGACCATACAAGCTATTAGAAGAGTTAACAGCATTTTGTCCCTGTATTTTAACTGCAAATGAGAAACAGAGATGACGCAGCAGTTATGTTTCACAGATTAAATACAGTGATTCTATAAAGAAATGCCACTGAAGACAAACAGCAAAGGACCTTCCAAACCAGAGCCATTACTTCCTAGAAAGCAGCTTCCCCTAACTAGACAACAGAAACAATAAATGATGAAAACTTCAAACACCTTTTAAGTTAAGTTTGTGAGAAACAGAGATATCCAGAACATGCTACTTACTATCTGACAAATAACATCTATTAGAAACAGCCTCTTGTTCCCATCATTGAGGAAGGTGTGCTCCTGACATACTGATTTTAAATAAACACTATTCATAAAACTGTTCACTATTCATTGAAATTATATCTGGAATGTCACAGTGATTTTAAAGAAATTATCTATCAATCATCTTTTTAAACAAGTAAATATGAAGCTTAAATTCAGCTTTGTGCTAGCCTCTTCCTGTCACTATTAGTTTGTGGCAGCCCTGCTCACAGAACTGAAATGCAGACTAGAAATTGGCAAAACAATTCCCACCCTGATGCACATCACTGATCCATCTCCTTCCACGCTGCATTCACAATAGGGATTGTTCTTCCCCTGGTCTGCAGAGGTGTCACTCTGCCTCCTGCCAAGCTCCCCTAAAGTAAGTCTCACATCGCTCTACCTCCTTGAAAGAGCAGATGTGAAAAATACATTACTTTGGGCCCACAAACGTCAGCCACAGATGTTGGTACACAGTGACATGACGTACTCTGCTAAAGGCTAAGAATTCCTATGTGTCAGTTCAGGTGAACCTGGAGAACCTAATTACATCACAGCAGCACTCAAAACCACAGGTGGTGCAGAGCTTTTTTTGAGTACAGGTTATTTTCTTTGAACACCTGTCATTTGGGCACCCTGAAGCTGCTGAGGCAGGTATCATGGCAGATGTTATGTGCTACAGCCTATATTTTCCTGTACAAGTTACCTTTTAGGTCACAGTACAGATATGAGAGAATACAAGGGGAGTTTCCAAGTTTAATAAGTTAGGGTGTACGCACTCCTTTCCTGTATGTGCAAACTGCCAACAGTTGAAGCACATGCACTGTTCACACCTCCCTTGAGGGATACCTCTCAAACTTGGGGAAGGCAGAGTGTCATGGCTACAGGGGCATCCTGTTGCCTTCAATGCTGAACTTGATGGCCCGATGCACTTTGCTGAGTCGTTTCTGTTCAGCAAATCGTCTCTTGTGTTTTTCCAAGCGACTAATACCTCTCTTAATAGTCCCGGGCTAGAAACAATATCTCAATTAATGCACAAAAGGAGAGAGAACAGCAGAAAGCACAGTAATTATTACTTCCATTTATATGTGTTCTACCATGTACTCCGCTCTGAAATTAAACTGTACACAGTAGATGAATGAACCAAATAAAGCAAAGCAAAGCGAAGGCCTCTACTGAAGCTGTTCATGTTTAGCAAAACCTCAAAGTTTCCCCCAATGGGAATATCATCAGAAGAACATGATACAAAAACTGGGAGAGGTATCAAAATACCAGTCACACGCACACACAAAATTGAAGCTTTAGTTCAAAATGCTCTAAAACAAGAGGCCTGTAATCAGATTCTCACCCTAGAGAGAAACTCTAGAAGTGTTAACATGAAAATCTCATTTTGATTAGAGAATCAAAGATACCCGAGTGAAAGTATTTGGTGAGCTGAAAACAGCCCACTTGATAGAACTTACTGTCTACTCAAATTAGAAGAGGCGCTTAAAAGAACTGTACAGAAACCATGGCAATAAGGTGACAGATTCCCAGGCTTAATCAGAGACAGCTTAGGCACCGTCACAAGGAGAGAGCCAGTGCTTACCCTGGAGGACTCCATCTCCACATTCCACTTTGGCCTGACTACATAGTCCTTGTTGGAGGGCATTGGCACCCTTGCACGGGCACAGAACCCAGGGTCGCCAGGTCTAAGAGCCCTGAAGAAAAAGATGTGAGCGTTAAAGAGGCAAATCTTACACATAAAGAATTACAAGTGATACAGCATGTTCTGCCTCTGAAACACAACACGTAACCAGTGCCTCTAAAGCCTCAAAACAAATTGCAGATTATTAGTACCACCAAAATACTTCTTTTCTAACCAAAATAATTAAAAACAAAACAAACAGACAAACAAACAAAAAAAAAAATACAAAAAAACCCCCAACCTACTTTTCCTCTCCAGTGAGCACTTTCTCCAGGTCCCTGCGGGGAGTCTGACCACCAGAGCTGCAAAAAAACCCAACATTTTATAGGCACTTAACACAGAGAAAAACAGTGATTTTAAAAGACAGTCAAGTATGGTAAAAGACAGAGAGAGGTCATAACTTCTTAGCCTTTTGTTTCCCTAGTATTTACACACCACTTGGATTTTCTGGATGGAGTGTTAGGCAGAAAGGATTTAATGTTTCTGCCTGCTACTCCTACCTGCTCAACCTCCTTCGCTGAGGCATCTGTTCCAAATCTCTCTGTTCCCTCTCTTCTCTTGTCATGCCTTTGTAGTTTGAGGTAAGGCCAAAGATGGGTCGAGACCATTCATCTATTAAAAAGAATAAAACTGGTTAAACACTAGGCCTCCGAAGTTTACCTCCAAACCACTCTGGTGCCCAAGTACAGCTTTCAAAGTTTATGGCAAGTATTTATGCTTCCTTTCAACCAGTGATTTCTGAGCACTTAATATTTCAGCGAAATCCAGCCATGTGGACAGTAAGAAAGAGCTTTCATCCATGAAGTCTCCTGCTGTTGCCTGCTCTTTTAGAACCTATCCGACCTCTTAGAATCCTGAAGTGTCAGGAACTCCTGCATGCTACAGTGAATGCTATTTTAGAAATATGCAAAATAGCTCCTAAAGAGCATAACAAGCTTATAATCAGTTTGTAGTCCTTCAGGATGAGATACACAAGCACTACAGCTGTTCCAAGATCTCTCCGAAGTCCACAGAATAAAAAGTCTCCTGGCAGCACCTTCCTATTTTTGTAGCATCTACATGAGGTTTGGACAACTAGCCAAGAGAGAGCCTGGACAAAATAAATGCCATCCTCTTGTTTAGAACAAGAATGAAAGAAACAGGAAAAAGGTGCATGCAAGAAAGCAATGAAACAGATTAGTGAGATTCTGTACTGCAGAACTAATTCTACTACAACTGACAGCAAAAAACATGCAACAGAAAGACTGATGCAGAAACTAAATGGTGAGTGACATCTCACTGAACCAAGGCAAAGGGAGGTTTACATACTGATTAGCTTCCCTGCCATATCCTTGTTAGGTCTCGACTCTTTGGGGTGTTTGTAGAGGTACATCACAGCTCGTCCAATCCCACTGTGCTTCAGGGTCTCTTGGCTCACACTGGGCAGCTGCAAGATAAAGGAAAAGTCACAAAGCAGCAAGAAATTATGTCTGAGCATTAATGGTGCCACTGAACTTTGCAAACACAGACCAAAACCCACCTTTACAATAATCTTGGAAAAATTAGCTTTTCTCATTGTCCCACTAGGAAAGGGTTAAAGAACCAAACACCAAAACTAAAAAATTTTCTTTAACATTACTGGGCTTTATACATAAAATCAAGTAGGTTTCCAGAACTATTTGCTCCACTATAAGCTCTTTTGCTTATACTACCCAAGAATTCATTTACTGCCTTCAAAGCAGTTTTATAAAGACAGAGCATTTTATAAAGATAAAAGCTTACATGGAAAAATCATTCAAGTAATCAGCTTAAGCCTACACTGAGTATGATGTGCTTTCTAGTGCACACCTTAAGAGGCCAGAAAAGAGAACAGACCATAGGAGAGAAAAACCCAGGGACACAGCAAATGACTGTTCACTAAACTTTACACATAAACCTGAAACAGACAGACAGGGCCAAATAATCTAAACTCAGGCAGAACAACTGCGAATTCCTAGCAAGGAAAAATGTATTTCTAGAGCATCAGTCGAATAAAGCCAGCTAGTGGTGCTGCCACGGAACATTTTGTTTCTACTTCACTATTACAACTATGCCACGCTTATTTTATGAATGCAGAAAAGACAAAGTCACCAATCATAAAGAATGAGCACTAAGAACAAAGGAAGTTAAGAGACTAACTGGCACTTCATTGAGAAACTAGAAATGCTGTAACACATAACTCCCTGAGAGAGGGCAGAGAACTTCGTGTCTGAGGTTCACCTGATACTCTCAGAAATGTCTTCTGGCCTGCTGGCAGCAGAGCTATTTGCTTTGTGGTGAACACAAAGGAACATTTTCATAACAACACTTAGATACCTGAAGTTGCGTGGTCAAATTTTTGTTAGGCCTAGTCAAATCTTGTTTTGTGCATGACAGCACGTCTACAATGTAACACCCATTAAAATGATGCAGCTTTTAAAGAAACATCTATTTTGCAGTTTGCTTCCTTTGTATTTCCGTGCACAACCCATTGGGAGCAGCTACAGCACATTTATCATAGAATCACAGAACCGAGTAGGCTGGAAAAGACCTTTAAGATCAGCAAATATTTTCCTAAAGCACAAAACTGTAAAACCACAGAGAAGCCACAAATGAAATATGGTTAAAAGTCAGTTTCAAACCTCTTGCAGGATCTTCAGAAGCTCCTCTCGTATCTTTAGTGCTGGCAGACTTCGGTCTGGAAGGGGAGAAAGCCACTCTTTGATGGCAGACATAACACCACTATCGATGAAAGTTTCTTTGAGGTCCTGCCTAGAAAGTTTCAAGTAAAGAGAAGCCACAGTCATGTAACACAACAAAATCTTAAGATGTGATGTTCCTTCAATACAACTGTGCACCTGAGTTTGTTTCATATTAAATTAACAGGTAAAATTATGTAGAATTTTAGGTTTTTGAGGCCACCTAGCTCCAGCATTTACTTGGGAAAAAAAAGTGTTTCACTGCATGCTCAGTACAACTGTAGTGTCATTCCATGAATTCTACCAAATTCCCAGTATTCCCCAAGATGAAAATTAACTGGGAGAATGACAACTCACTTTTTAAGATGCATAACTACAGTCGGTAGCAAAGTTAATTTCTTTAGTGCTGGTTTCTTTTGTGTATTCAGCTGTCGATCCTCCTGTAGGGAGTTGAAGAATCAGCCCAAGTTAGTCAAGAAATCAGCAGCTCTCATAGTTTACAAGTATTTACAGGAAAAAGATTAGCCCATTAAGTGGGAAGTACAACTTCAGCAGGTTTTTAACTTTGTGTCCTGCTCCAACTTCGTATGGCCCCAAACACACTGTATTATGACTCCTCTTCAAAAAGGGTCCTCAGCTTAGTCAAAATTTTCCTTAAAAGCATCACATGTGGAGATTCCCTCTAAAATTACTTTTTTTTTTCATAGTTCATGATTTAGGTTGATTGCTGTAAACTGGACAAGTCCTCCACACTAGCTATGCACACATAACCTAGAAACTTTGCTAGTAAAATCTCACCTGAACAACAGAAAGCTAACCAAAACAACAGGATGTGAGAAAATAAATAATCACTTCAACTAAGAATGTAACTGAGTAACCTAGAGGTTCACCATGAAGCACAGTGCTCGTAACATGAGAGCACACAAGTGGGCATCACTGCTAAAACAAAGCCTGGGTTTCAAAGTGACTATCATCCAAGGACATAATGTCACTATCTGTTCAGTACTTGGGCTCCCCTATCAGAGACCCATTACAATCAACAAATTTCCTGTAGAATGGAACTGGATTTTTAAGGTGTCTTTGGAGCCTAGGAAACTCACCTCAGCAGCTTCATTCATCTTCACAATCATAGCACTGACCACATCATCTGCATCACTAATGAAAGTTCCACCATCACGGTTTCGTCTACGCTTGCCGCTCATACTCTTCTTTCGTTGCAGCATCATGTCAAAATCTGACATGAAGTCCATACTGCAGTGCAAGAACAGAATTTGCTGATGGTCAGAAAAGGGTTGATCTTACTGTCTTTGTAGGAAATAATGCTGTATTTCTATAGCTAACTTTTCAAAACTTCTCCAATGAATCTATAAGTATCATGTCCCAATGTCCCTGAAAGATAATCAGTTATCCTAGTATACAAACTGGGAAACTAGCAAAGGGCTTCAGTGACTCCAAGATGCCCTCAGAAGTCTGCAAGACCTGCCTGAAATAGCTAACGACATGCATACATGTAATATCCAGGGTTCAAAATGTGCCAAAGCAGTCATTGAAGCTGACAAAGATTTAGCTTTCCTACACCTGCAATACACTGCTCTGATGCTACTGGAACAGACAGAAAGGAAAGCAGAAGACATGCTGATGGCAAGTCTTGCCACATCTTATCTCCTACACCAGCAGAGAAACACACGACTCCAATGTTGTACTGCTAGAAGTAGAATTAGATGCTTGTTTGGTTAGACATTAATTTCACTCAGGTTTTGATGTGAACCATGAAATACTGTTCTCTGAAGCAGCAGCACAGGTAATCTGCTTGGACTGTCAAGTGATCAAACTGCTAGTTGAGAGAGGACCTTCTGACATAGTTTACGAGAACACACTTTATTATATAGAAACATAGTCCCATGCCTTTCTAATGAAGTCTAGCTAGTCTTTGAAAGAGACCTTTCACTAAAATGTTGCATGTTATTAGCAAAAGAGTACATAAAATATTGACTTACTGCTTCCCTCTTTTGATGTTATCATCAGAGTCTGATTCATCTGCTGTCTCCTTCATGTCTGCATCACCTTTCTCTTCCTCCAAATCTTCCTGGTTAAAACCCTGATGGGTAAAGACAGTGAAAATCAGCATATGGATTAAGACTGAGGATCTACTCAGGCACCTGATATCAATACCCAAAAAGCTTCATATCAGCATGCAGAAGATCTAGAAGAGGAACACAGGCTTCCCAATTCCACCTGTGACTTTCACACCAATAACTCTCCCAACAGAACAGTTTGTAAATGTTATTTAACCCAAAGACTACCTCATAGAGTCTAGCAGATACAAAAGCTTCTCTTGTGATACAGCATACACATTCCCATGAAGATCAGATCTAGCAAGCAAACAACAGACATCCACAGTAACACTTACCGTAAATTCCTCTTCTTCCTCATCACCAGATTCTCCAAAAATATCTGCAATCAGATTCCTGTGAAGGTAACAGCAACATTAATCTATTTAAACTGCAACATTAGATGTGCATTCTCTGCAAAATGTCTAATGGCTGTGTGGAGATCCACCTTTCATTTTGCCACCTACTAATGACATTCCTCTTGACACCACCAATGAAGGTGGACAATCATTCTCAGGTTGGGATTCATCCATTCTCCATTCATGATCAGTCTTACTATCTGCAACCTTGAAGAAATTCATATCCCCAGCAGCACTTACTCTTGTTCATTGCCAGATTCACTGTCACTGCCAAACAGATCTTTCTCCTCTTTTTTCTTCCCAGAATTCTCTTTTCTTTCTTCTTCTTCTTCTTCCTCACTATCTGATACAATATTTTTCTTCCTTTTGTCAGATTTCTCTGAAGCAGCATCACTATCTGATTCTTCGACATCAGAAAGGATTCGTACTTTTTTTGCAGCTGCCAACAGAAAGAAGCATTACTACATGTCCTAGTAACAGAGGCAACAACTGGTACTCTCCAAAAACTATTCTCTCAGATTTGATCTGGACAACAGGGAAGCTGATTGGCATTCCCACACAAAAGCATTGCCATCTCTTAACAAACACATCCATTCTAAAATGTTTTATTTCATCAGTAACTGCAGTTTCCATAAACCACATCTATCCACAAAAACTTGTTATTTCAAAACTGACTCTCACCCCCAGTATATGAATGGAAAAAAAACCCGAACAAAACAAACCTACCCAAAATAAAAAAACAGGAAAAAATTGCTAGAGAAAGAGTAAAGTCTCTAACACAGTAGAGAAACGACTAACAGGAATAATCAACATAACAACAGATGCCAGTATAAAGCAAGATCATTGCAGTCTTACTTCTATCAGACCTACTTACTACTCAAAAGTATTCACACAGAAATGCAGTTAGAACAACAGCCTCTACAAACGAAGTTATGCTCTAACCCCAAGCTTCCTTTCTGGTTTCATATTTATCTTAAATCATTGGGTTTAGGTGAAGAAAGCATTTAACTCTAACACTGCTACATGTCACATCACATTTCTATTTTCACACTATAGCTCCTTACGTGTTTTCTCATCGTCCTCACTGTCAGAAAGGATAGCCGTTTTCCTCTTCACCATCTTCTCCTCCTCTTTCTCTTCTTCATCACTGTCTGATATTTTTCGTCTCTTAGGAGCTTCCTCTTCACTGTCGGAGCCCTGAAATCCTTCCCTTATGTGCTCGTTATCTGAATGATGAGAATCATTCTGCACCTCCTCCTTCCTGTCCTCCCCATCACTATCCTCAGACTCTATTTCTTGTTTGTGTCTGGAAACATCCTCGGTCTCCGAGTCACTAGCCGGCTGTTTGTGGAGCTCCTCGCTCTCCGAATCACTGGCTGGCTGTTTGTGGAGCTCCTCACTCTCTGAGTCACTGGCTGGCTGCTTGTGCAGCTCCTCACTGTCCGAGTCACTGGCCGGCTGCTTGTGTGATTCCTCATTTTCAAAGTCACTACTGTGATCCCTGTGAGGCTCTCCATTTTCAGAGTCACTTGCTCGATGATTTAAGGCATCTTCATTTTCAGAGTCACTTACATGCTGATTTGGACGGTCCTCAGTATCAGAATCACTGTCCTTCCCTCCATGAGCTGCTTCATTATCCGAATCACTTACATTGTGATTTGGAGGCTCCTCATTATCTGAGTCACTGTCTTTTTGCCTCGGGATATCTTCATTTTCAGAGTCTGTCATATGGGGCTCTCCGATCTGCCCATCATCTTCTCCATCACTGTGTTCATTCTGAAAGAGAAAAATAATCTCAGGCAACTAAGGCAAAAAAAAATCTTAAGTACACAAAAAACATTCTGAATTTTTGCTTGTCCTTCCTCCAATTTCATTACCCAAGGTACTGCAAAGTAAAATACTTCCTACACAGAAATAATCATTAGACAATTTGCATCAAACACTTCAAAAAGATTTGTTATCAAATACTTCAGATCAAGAAAGATCAATTTAGACTGTCCACTCTTCAGCTCAATCGTATGTTCAGAATGGTTAACAGAATTCAAAAAACACTCAAGTAAAGATGTCTAAGAAGGGTCCAGTTCCTCAAGAGTAAATGCCGTGCTTTCATTTTAAAAAGGCAGGCCTTCAGAGTTGTTCAGTCCGAACGCCCAATAATAAGGCAAGAAACAGGATCCCCCACTTGTCATTTTAAGATCTCAAAACATATGTTTTTTGTACAAAATACATTTTACTGAAACTGCATGTGCACTGCTTTCCAAGTGAAGCTCAAAAGAGCTTGTGCCCTTTCCTTCTTTGCCAAGGAAACTTACGTAAGAACATGTCAAGACCAAAAGTCTACCAAAAAAGAGGAATAGTTCTAGTCAGATCTTCCAGAGTATTACTGTTAACAAGTTTTGTGTTTCAATGTTGTTTTCACAGAATGCAAGAACAGATTCAATTCTTCTCTCCCTTAAGCTGATAGCTCCTGTGCCTGTTCAGACACCTGAGATAACCCATGCACAAATACACTAGCCTTCTTAAAACTTCAGAATTTAAACATAATCCTTTAAGTCTTTTTCTACATATCAAAAAATACTAAGCTGCAGGCTCCCTTTCTAGAAAAACCTTCCACAAGCCACCCATCAATATCATCACTGACAACATCTTGTTTTATCTCTCCTATAACATCTAATTACTACTTGGGAAAGAAAAAGTAAAATCTCAATTGCATCTACTTGAGAAAACAGAACTTGACTCTTGAACACCTGTTTCATTAACTGAGTACACCTCTCAGTCACGGTTACAATAATCCCATTTGCAACTGAAAAGAACAATACTGTGAAAGAAACTTCCTTTCTACATGCTCAGCTCCACTCTTCAACCAGGCTTTCCTCAGGAGTGATTCTGTCTCACCTATAGACTCCTTCCACTAGCATACTCGCAAACTGAGTATTTATTGTCCTAGAAGATACTTCAACACCTGTGTGCCCTGGAGGTTCTCAATCGTTTTTGTCAGCAATTTCATTTCCCTGGAAAGACAGGCAGACTACTTATATTTTCTATTGTCAAGGTGTATCTATCCTACACCTACAACAAACAATACTATTCATCTTTAAAATGTATGATTAAGAAGGAATTTTAAATAAAATAAATTTCAATGGCTTTTAGGAATTACTTCCTCCAGAATTATACTAACTGTAAAATAACATGGCTTTTAACATTTTGGACCTTACCTTAAGCATTTATTCCCTCAGCTAGCATTCAATAAAGTAATAACTTCTAAATCAGTGCAGCATCACTAACAGAAAGTTACTGCACAATGGAAAAAAAACAGAACTATAGAATTTTAAAACATGCACTTCAAATACAGCTTCACTATATACGTGTTGTTACTTAATGCTAGCTACAAAACAGCTGCTGTGACTATGAGCGAGTACTTTTCTCACTACTGCTTGTCCCTGTCTCTACAGCAATGCTAGTCCTTTAAATCATGTTGGTGCTATTATTCAGTATTTCTCACTTCTTACAGAAAGGAAACATGGTTCTATTAAAACCTGAATTTGAAATTTTAAAGAATTGAATATGAAGATTAAGAAGTTACAGAATTGAGGATGACCATACACACACTCAACTGCTCTCAGCTTGTTACGAGATTCATACTTTTTTCCTTACCAAAATATTAATTCTATCAACTTCTGCTGCCCAGTCCCTCTCGTGTAAACTAACAATGTGTGTATGTGGTGTATTTTCTCTGACTGTATTATTTGGATTAAAGAAAACTGCAGTTGCAAAGAGAACAGGGAACAGATTTTACAGCAGTGTTACAGGTAAGGTCATTGAGAAGTACTGAAACGCAGAAGTCTACACTGAAAATTATGTTTATACTAATATAAATTCTTTAATCCTTATTCTTCTATCATGTAATTTTTGGTGGGTTAGTCTGTCATGTCTTGATTTCAGATGGCTAATGCTGAATAGGTACTGATAATTATGTCAGCAGTACTGGGGGATTTTACTGAACAAAACCAAAGAAAACACTAAAAATACTCTTGTTTAAACTATAAGGCTCATCACCTTCCAGACTACCAGTCCAGAAAGTCTTCAATGAACAGGTAAACAAAACTAGAAAAAAAAAAAAAAAAAAAAAAAATACTGGAACTCATAATGATTCTTAGAAGCATTTAAGGTCAGAAGAGTGGCTGCAGGTTATATATCCAGCTATGCAGAATGTATTACTACATTAGGAAATTCCAATGCAAAATGCTTCATAAAGAAGTCATTACAATTATACAACACTATCACTGAAGCAGTTTACAATACAATGAATCTCTAATCTGTTACTGCAAACTGACAATCACTCCTGAGAATGAAGATGTTTGGGGACGGCGAGCAGATATGCATCCTAATAGCTCATACTGTGATTACACACTGCTCTGCACCACAGAATCCCAGTGGTTACAGCAGCTGAACTCTGCTGTGACACAATCATCTACAGAAAACCGACTTAGATGCTACAGGTGCCCCTACACAGACCTGGCAGACAGCACCATCTACTCTAGTCCTGAGTATGGAAAGCTCAACCAAAGCTAGCCCAAGTCAGTAAGCCCTGCAGAGAGGTCACACACACACCTCAGACTCAGCACATTAACATAACTGAGCACCTTCTAAAGCAGAGCTGACTTGCTCAAAGCCTGTAGAGAACAGACAGGCCCTGTACACAGCCATCAGTGCAAAGGTCTTCTGAATGCAATTAATGAATCTCTGAATGTTTGGAATATACTTCATATAAAAAGTGCATGCAACTTTAGAGTAAGAAGACTTAAATTCTGTAGGATAGTCTCACACCTCTTATTTTTTTACTAGTTCGTCTCTAAAAAGGTATTTTCAAAGAAGTATGTAATTTTGGAGTTTCTACTTTTCCAAATACTTAACTAAAGATCAGACATCCCCAAAAACAAGTAGGTCTCAGGTAATTGCTACTGCATTTTTCTCTAATTCCTTTGCTTTCTTTTCTTCCTCCTCTTTATCTATAAACATTTTAATTGAGATGTCCTTTTCTTTTTTTAAACTAAAAGAATTCTATAACATGAGGTTTTAGTACAGTATAAATCCAGAACATAAAAATCAAATTTACAGTGTTATTGGTCTACACAAAAATTTCAGTTACCAAGTAGTTTATAGGATCAACATGCAGCCACTTTTAAGAGGTACTACTTTGATACTTTAGGAAGTTGAACAAAATTGACCCATCCACTACAACCTCATGAGTGATAATTGTTAAACTAAGGCATATATAACCATCACAGGCAGATCAGCAAGTTTATCTTGTTTTCAGAAATGTAGGTTTCTTAACAGTCACAGTCAAACCATAACTTAATTCATGAAGACAGCAACGACTTGGTGAAAGTGTAAGAATCTAAGTTATTAAAGATTTCCATATAAGCCTGGCTTGTAGAAACACTGTAAACATGATTTCATATTCATTACTGTACTAAACCTATGTGTTATCTAATTCTATATGTCTAAAACAGAATTGGTAAGGACATCAAGAAGAACATTTATAGATAAAGTGGGACTGGGGGAAGGAAAGCCAGAAAAGAATTGTGGAAAAGAAAAACCCACATACCTGAGACCTACATAAGTATTTCCTCAGGATTCCCCTTTTCTTTAAAGTTAAGAACCTGAAAAAAAAGTTTGAAAGTTTAAAACTTCAGTTCTTTACATCTCAGTTCTAAATTAGAGACGAAATAGTAATTAAATAGACTTAACTGATTAGGCTGTCTCAAAGGTTTTACTACCTTTGAGTGTCATTCCTCCCACATATTCCTGAAGATGAAGGAAGGAAGATGATGAGAGAATATTTAGGGTAAATAGTATGGTAAGTCACTGAAAGCTACTCATTTCAGTGACAGCCGCTCCACATTACTGCTTTGTAGGGAAACCTAAGTATGTAAGACTTCATAACAAACTGAAATACTCAAATGTTTATTATGATTTGAATTGAAAGCAAGCAAGCACTAAGGTTTGAAGGTTCACATTTACTATTGGACAGAAAGGTGTTCTAGCTGGGGTTTTACTCTGATTACATATATGTTTTTAAATTGAATTTCTGGAGTATTTTATTTACATAGAAATATTCAACAGCCATCATAGAATGAAGCCCTTAACATAATGCAGGCACATGAAGAGGATCAGTTAAAAATGGTAACAGGTCATAGTACTTTCTAGTTATTTAAATCTGAAAAAGGCATGCTGAAGATCAGATTTCCAGCTACTCTGCCACAGTAAGTAAAATTAAAATCCCACAGGAGTAAAGTGAGAACAATGACCAAGTTTCCAGACACAGAAGAAAAAGCTTAATATTACTGAAGCAGCAACATGACTCTCTGTGCACTCATCTTTTTTTTTTTTTTCATTAAAACAGAAATACTAAATCCATTTGAAAGACAGTTGTTCCTCTCATGCTGAAATACATTTTCTCCGACACTGAAATCCTGGTTGTCACAGGAAGAGATGCTGCCTCACACCAAATCAGTTCCTTCCATCTTTAAAGAAAAATTACTTCCAAATCTGCTTTGTGCTCAAATACAAATACATAGAAAGAAATTCCATTTTGTACAATACAAAAATCTTCATCTACTTCTAACTCTGACGGAAGCAGGAGTTCAATAAATGGGTGGAGAAATAAAAGATTGCAGAGTTGAACATCAGCCTGCTCCAGTGCATCACATCATGCATTTTAAGCAATTTATAAAATGTGTAACACTGAAAACCCAGAGTCAATCCTGACCTTTATGTAAAATGCCACAAAATGTGCAGAACAGAACAAAATGGTTCCAATTACAGTTTTTGTGAGTATCAGGAAGTTCTCAATAACGTAACTCTGCTGTCAGAAGACATGAGTTCACAGTCCAAAATTATTCTTTCTTAATAAGACCTGACATAATTCTATTTCAAGTCACAAAAAATCCTCAAAATTAACTCCAAAACTGTCCGAGAAATCTAATGGGAACCTTCACTTTGATCAGAATCTCTTTTCGACCAGAAGTGTCAATCCACAAGTTAAGTGACTCTCCCCCAGATGCAGTACTGGATCAAAGAATTACAGCCTGGTGTAGTCTTCCTGAAGGAAGAAGCTCTTCAGAGGAAGAGCAAATACCATTCAGGAACCTCAACCTGCTCCTGCTCCACACGGCAACCTGCTCCTTTGTGAATGAGAACGTAAAAAACATAGCATGTAACAGACTTGAGAGTCTGCGCTCACATCTGAGAGGAAAGATGGAAAATAGGAGATCATTTATTCTTTGGTAAGGAAATCTATGCTTCCATAACGTGTGGCTTTACAGTACTGTACAGAATTTGAGATAAAATTCCAAATTCCTCATAAACCACTGCTTAGAATTTCAAACCCAAAAAGTTTATCTTCCTGCAATTGAGTATAACAATATGAAACGAAACAGTGAATGCTTACTATAGCAATTAAAAAGAAGAATAAAAAAACCCCCTATCCTACCTATTGATCAAGAGACCATCTGACAGATTTCTTTCTGAAGGTTAACTTTTGTCAGATGGGACCCTTAAGAACAACTGAATAAACACATAAGCTCAATTAGGAGAAAATACCTCTTTAAACAACAAAAAAAGAATAAATTTATAAAAGAGTAATCTTTATCTAGATAAAGTTCAGTAGTACCTCTGAATGGTGCCCTACACTTCCATTCTCAGATCCAGAATGCTGCTCATTTGCTTCATCTTCCACATCAGATCCTGAATCTCGTTCATCTTGCACTGGAGTAGCTCCACCATCATCTACTCCGAAGTTAAGAAAAAAAAAATAAAACTCAGTAACATCTCCTAAAAGAGTACTCACAGTGATGGTGAACAGGCAGTGCTACACTCAGACTCTCGTTCTAGCCGTCTCTCGTTCTCTTATACAGGGAAACGGAAACTATCTAGTGGGAAGGCTGGAACAAACTCACCACAGGTACCCCACAAAAAGATCACAAAACTACTCAGAACACGTAGGCCAGCAGTTACTGACCAAAGCACCTAACTAACAGCAACCCTGTGCTGTGATCACGCCAGCGGGCCCGGCCCGGCCCCCCGATGTCACCCCGACACCTCCGAAGGCCGGCTGCACACTACCGCCGGGGTGGAGGTGGCCCTGCCCCACG